GGTCACAGAACCCAGAACACAGCAGCAGACAGCAAATGGTAAAAGCAAGTGGCCCCAACTCAGCACAAAGCACAGGAGGGGGTCCCGGGCTCCCTGTGAAAGGTTGGCCCAGTTGTGAGGCTGAAGGAACAGAGTAGTCCTAGAGTGGCAGTCAGATAACCAAACACCCCCAGGAAGAGACAGGATGAGGGGGACATGGCCATGAGCAGATGCTAAGCACTGGATGCATCCGAGGGTGGGGTGGGGCAGCGGATGACAGTGACAATGGAGTTGGTGCATCCACAAAACCAGAGGCACCAGACTCTGCAGACTCTGGCTGCAAACCGCTGGGCAGCGAGGAGCAGCAAAAAACTAGTCCTGAGGAGGCAGCACAGAGCTGTGTGGCGGAAAACAGAAAGGTCCAGGCAGCCAGAAGGGCGGGGCGCCAGGTAAATAAGGTCACCAAGAACTGACTTCAGGGTCAATAAAGGCAGACGCCCCAATTACCTGGTGAAGGCCACTCAACAGTCACTGCACGTCAGCATCAGACACTGTGCCTTGAGAGCTTGTTCAGCAATTTTCATGTCAAAGTCAAACATCAGGCCAGCTCCTGATAGTTTGAGGTGAATTCAGCATCCTCCTCTCCACTCTCAACACATCTGTGGTGGAAACAGGGGTGTAAGCCAGCTCTGCTCCCCCCACCCCAAGCTGCGCCTCTGTGGGAGAACTAGCCCTCATCATCCAGAGGGGGCCTGTGCCCCACAGCCATGGCCAGTCTTCTTTTGTAATAACTAGTTTCCAAGGTTTCAAAGTGCCAAGCAACAGCATAAAGCACATGCACCTATACTGCCCAGGGAGCGGTCCAGGGAGGTAATCAGAAGGGAAATCAGAAATGAGTTACCACGTCAGCCAGAACCGTGCCACGCCAGGTTGGAACAAGAATTTATTCGAGGAGCTCTTTATGCCAGGCAATGTTCTAGACTTTGGAGAAACAGTGGTGACTCAGAGAAGGTCGCTGTTCTCTTAGGGCTTCCTCCCACACTGACTGTGAGGCTCAGGATGAGGAGGAGAGGGATAGAGCAGAAAGAGGGGACGTGCACACATCATGGTGAGATGACAGAGAGGAGGGGCAGTCTCAAAGGAAACAAGAAGAGGGCACCAAGCAAGGCATGATGATGAACTCAGGCCTCCTCTGAGTAGGCCAAAGCATGGTCTTCAAAAATGATGTATTGTCAAGCCCCAGCATCCTACTGTCTCACATAAACCATCTTTTGTTCCCAGCTGGACAGTGTGAGAAACTGAAATGTTCATTCAATTCCCACTGGCTCTGTCTGTGACAGGCTGGAACTGTCCGAAAGTCTGTGATAACTCATCTAGCAGAACGGCCTCTCTATAAATACGTTTGTTATCATCTCCTGGGCCTCATTAAGACTTTTCAATAGCAAAGGCGGCTGTAAATCCGAAGAAATATTGTTGGGAATTAATTTTATTCGTATGCTGTCCAAACTCAGAGATTTTTAGAAGTGACTCTTTCAAAAAGGTCTCCAGGTATGTGTATGTATGTATATATATATATATATATAAACTTTAAAATTCAAAGTTGGAAACCTGAAATAACTGGTAATGAATCTTTGATCTTTTCAAAGAATGGCTTCATCTGTGTTTATATAGATGACAGCAAACAGGCTCAACCAAGCTGGAGCTGAGAAGGCAGGCACACACTCTCCAACACAGAACCAACCCCCTTGCATTTTGAGAATAAACATTGTTCATTTCACACTGACTGGAAAAAGACATCAATTCACATCTGAAAACCTTTCTTTAACTTTTGTCCCCCATGGAAGTCTCTATATGCAACTTTTTAAAATGTACACATACACAATGACTGGAAGAAAAGACACCCAGATCTTCTCTGGATAAGATTAGCGGTTTGTGCCATTATAGGTCCCTATATTTTCAAAATTCAGGAAATAATGTATATCATCTCAAAAATAAAACAAAAAAACTAATTTTCTTCAAAAATGAAATAGAAATTCCTTATTTAAAAGAAAAAGGACATACTGTATGTTTGCCACCTTGTTGTAACGCTGATCAGAAATTCTAATGCCAAGCATTTTATTTACACAGAGAAAAGCAACTGTTTGTATAGAAACATTGTCCACTGTTACCAAAGTTAAACAGCCCCAGGGCAGTGACTAGAATTAGAAAAAGGGCACCGGGATAAGAGTCTCAGCTCAAATCCCAAATCCACTATGTACCAGCTGTGCAACCTCAGGCACATTTCAGAACCTCTCTGATCCAGTTTCCTCACGTGTAAGATATCAACTGGGAGAACTGACTGGGCAGTAAAAGGACATGTCTGCCCAGGCAGTAAGAGGCCTGTACATATGCACAGCCACAGAGGGAAAAGTTGTTTTGTCTGTGCCTCCCAAAGATGACAAGTGTACTCAAAGATAGTGACGCATATAACATAAATTGCGAATTTGAAATATTTCCTTTGAAAACAAATACAGATAAATTTCCAAAGTAAAACCAAGGCTTAAAATGCTGTGCTTAGAGCCAATCACCTCTATCTCCCCTTGCTCCCAGAGAATGGGGAGGTCAACAACTAGAGGCATATCTGAATGCCTACTGATAGATAATGGACAGCAGCTATGAGCACCACCCTCAGTGGGTGCAGACCATCACTAAGAACAATGTGCCGAGGAGTGGCATATAACTGCTGCGCACTGCTAAGTGCCCAATTCCTTATGTGAGCTCCACTCACATCCACACAGACATAAGGACCATGAGTCTGAGAGAAGGCAAGCACACACTCCAACACAGAACCAACCCCCTTGCATTCTGGTTGAAATAATGACCATCCTCTACCCAACAACTACACAAAGAAATGCCATCTTGGAATGGATGCAGCTCAGATTTCCTTTCCCAGGGCTCAGGAGCCAAAGCAAGGGGGTAGAGCTTTGGGTTGTTTGGTTTAGAGAGAGGGAACTGGAAAGAGGGAATGAGACTTGGGCGCGGATACTGTCGTTTAAACTGAAGAGCGCGAATTCTCTCTTTTTTTTTTTTCTTAGAAACTGGAATCTCGCCCCTTCCTGTCTCTACCTGGAGAGCAGAGCCCAACACAGGATGGCAGCAGTGTAAAACATCTACATTAGTCAACCAGTTGCACAAGCCATCCATTCAACTAGTCTGCTCTTGAATTACTTATTATCTTCCCCTGAGTAAGAGAAAATTATTCTTTCTTGTTACCTGCTCTGCTTCAGGCGCTAAGTCAGAGAACTCCAGCCTGACAGATTGCTTTGTGCAAAAATATAAAGAAATCATAAAATGAAGTATTTCTGGGGAAAGGAGGAGTCGTTAGCCTTCCAGAATGCATATAACTCCCCAAATCCAAAAAGGCAGAAAGTTCCTCCTAAACACATCAGCAAGGGTCTATTGCACTGTTTGGGCAGATCTGTCTGGCACCTCTTTTTTCTTTTAATTAGGTAACGCTTCATTTTGCCTTAACAACTGTCAACTTAAAGACTCAATTATCTGTCAAGATGAGACCCAGCATTCCTGGGCAGAGGGGCACAGGGTGTAAAATCACTTCTCACTTGCAGGACTTTTGGTCAGCCCTGAAATTCCTAGGTGGGGGACACCACCTTGGACATAAGAAAAAACTCAGGGATCATCCAGGTCAACGTTCTCACTTTCCAGATGTGGAAGAAAGTCCAACAAGGGTCTGGTCTCAGCTGACAAGGTCCGCAGTCTTCCTCCTCCCTCTCCTCTGTCCAACAACCTTGTAAGGACTCGAGCTGTTTAGTTCTATTTTAAGATAAACCCTCTCACTAGAAACCTGCATCTCACCCACCCTGCAATTTCGGGTGCTCTGCAGGGTGCCCTCAACGGCCCTCCCACCCCCAAGAGCCATGCCTGGAGGGATTCACCTCATGGGCCTTTCCTGTGGCTGGGACTGGCTAGGCAGGGCAACTCCTTTAACTGTGGGAGACAAGGCGCTGCTGTGCTGCTTCTAAGACACTTGACCTTGCCATTCTTCCCACCAACTCTCTGGTGAACACAAGTTAAAAAATCTCAGAGAAAGATGTCTTCAGAGTTCCAGGAAAGCCGCTACTGTCCTTCCTCAGCAAGTGCTCTCCATTTTCCATCCAGAAAGTATTCCACGCCCCTCATCCCAGCACCATTGCCCTCAACCTGGTGTGACCTCAGGTAGGGCAGCTCTCCCCTGCTGGGAATGCTGGGGGACCTTCACCTGTAGGGCAGGTCTTGTAAAAGTAGCATGGCGCTGACCCTAGGAGAGCAAAAGGGGAAATGGGCTCTCCCTGGCCCCTGAGCTAGGACTTCCACTGGCTCACCCATCCAGGTCTTCTGCAGCCTCCCGCCTCCTGGCTTTTCTCTCTTCCTCACTGTCCCAATGTCTTTCATTTCGACCCCCCACTACCTGGCTTCCCGCCCCCGTTTCTATAACTTCCTCTTACAAGGCGCTCCAGAGGTGTTTCTACTGTGTCTCCAATTATGTCTAAATGCAACCCACCACAGATGCTGACATTTTAAATGTTTAGTTGTTATAGTTACTTGACTAATTGCCGGGCCCAAAGGCGTTGCTTCTCCTTCGCCTCCCGCAGACAAGAGAAGGGGGCAGAGGGAGTGGGGGGAGGGGGGAGCGGGCAGTACACGCGGTTGTAGCCACCACTCCCTGGGGCCCCCGGGGGTGCGGCCAAGCCTGGGCCAGGGGTCCTTGCCTCCTGCACCAGGGGAGACTGGGCCAGTGGCCAGGCACCCAAGGTCTGCCCGGTGCCTCCGCAGGGCCTGGGGATGGCCCGAACTGTCTTCCGCCGCCTGAAGGGGGAGAGGCAGGGAGACCCCCCGCAGGTGCGTGGCAGCCAGGGGATAAAGTGAGGTGGTGTTTCATATAAACTGGTTGCGGGGGTGGGGGAGACAGGGGCAAGTTCGGGGAGCAAAAAAAAAAAAAAAACAGAAACAAGAAAGAGAGTTAGAAGCTTCTGCCGGTTACTCACGTGCCAGATGGCGAAGAAGATGAGCGCAGCGCACAGCACCAGGGACAGCATGTAGCAGAAAGCAGCGAAAGTGAAGGCCATGGTCGCAGCCCGTACCCCAATCCCGCCACACTCAAGAAGCCCCTAGAAGTCAGTGGCCTCCTCAAGACCTCACTGCCTTGAAAGGGGCAAAAAGGAGCCACGCACCCTCCCCTCGAAGGCAGTGACTAGCAGACGGCACGCCAAGCAGGGGGGACAGACTTGGGGGCCCATGAACCGGGACAGGCTTCCCGCCGGCTCCGCGACCCGGGCGCCAGCCCGCCGCGAAGGCAGGGAAGGGTGTGTCGGGCGTCGTTGGCGGCAACTGTCCCCCACACGAAGAAACCAAATCAGTAGCGAACTCCTGCAGATCAGTGCCAAGCTGAGAGTCCTGGAGACAAACTCGGCGAGGGGTGCGAGGACTCCAAGGAGGACCGCGTGTGAATGACGCTCCCGTCCCCGAGGACCCCAGGGGCGGACCCTCTGTTCTCCGCGCCTACACGCCAGAGGAGAGGCGAGGGCGCGGCTCAGGACCCTCCCGCGCTACCAGGGCGCAAACCGAGAACCTCCAGTAAGGTGCCCCGGCGGACTCCAAGCGCCTCCCAAATCCCAGAGCCGGCCACGACTCTTTCCGGAGAGAACAGGTCGTCAGGTAGCCTGGAAGAGCCACGTCCCCTTGGTCCCGCGCACCGGAGGGGGCTTCCAGGGCTGCTGTGCTCGCCTGGGCGCGCCCAGTCCCAGTCCCGGTCCCGGCCCCGGTCCCGGCCCCGGCCCGGGCGGCGGTCCCGGAGCGCCGGCCTCGGTCCCCAACTTCCCGGCAAACTAGGGATCAGACCCTGGTGGCCACGGACTCCAGCCCTGCGGGCCTGCTCCCTCCAGCGGGGCTGTAGCGGCGGGTTCCAGGCCAGTTGCAGCGCGCCGCGGAGCCCGCTCCACCTGCTGCTGCCGCCGCCTGTGCCACGGCGAGAAACCGAGCGGCGGGGCGCGGGCTCCCTCCCTCTCGGCGCCCCACCCTCGGCTCCGCTCCGCCGAGCACGCCCTCCCAGGCGGGCGGAGACTGCAGCCACCGAGCGGCGGAAAGGTGGGCGGCGTGACGCCGAGGGGCGCTCGGTCGCCGCCGCCGCTGCAGCTACTCGCGCTAGTCTCTCCGCGGAAACTTGGGGGCCGCGGGGCCGGGCGGGGCCCGGGCGGGAAGGAGCAGGGACTCTTTAAGCACGTGCGTCTGGAGGAGGCGGGAAGCTGCGGAAGGGTATGGCGCGTACCTCGCGCCTTAAGGCGTCAGCCATCCCTCCCGTATTTCTGTTTCGCTTGTCTGAACGAAAAATGAGGGGTCGGGAGGCGGGGGGCGGTGTACGGGGAGGGCGATATGGGAGGAGGGTCTGGTCTTGTGTCGGTTGGAGATACGGGACAAGCCATTTGGGTTTGCTCTAGTGCCCTTGATGCTCCAGATGCTCGCAGCCCCTGTAAAATTCCCCATCAGCGCCTTTCCCTGGCATCCTCCCCAGACATCTGACCTTGGGATTGGGGAAACCGACTGTGAACTATGCTAGACAGAAGAGGCAGCAGCACTGGCTCTGTGTGTTGGTGTTGGTCCAGTGGACCTGTCAAGAGCTTGAGCTTTTTGAGTCAAAGCCCTTTCGGGCTGCGAGTTGTAACCTTTTTAAACCTCGGTTTCCTCGTCTGGAGAAAAAAAAAAAAAAAAGAACACTATTGGCTTTATTTAAATGGAATATAAATAAAGAACCAAGCAACCAAGCACAGAGGCAGCACACCACGCTTCCTTTGAAAGAGATTTCTGCTACAGAAAGAGGCTCCAGTAATTCCAGATAGAATTTGGGTTTCAGAGAAGTCATTAAGTCCGGGACGAAACGAATATGCCTGGAAAGTTATTGCCAAATCTAGTGGCAGACTAGAACCACATCATGGTTTGGGTTGATAGCAGAGGGTCTAGTATGTTGTGTAGAGTTGGGCACTCAATAAATAGTTGCTGATTCTAACCCTGGGGTGCACGTTGCACTGTTTACAAATGTGACTCCAATGGCTTTACAGCTGAAAGAAATGAATTGTCAAAAGCTAGTGCACAACTAGTTAGTGACAGAAATGATTTAGGGTCTCCAGTCTCCTCAAGGCTCTTTCCATGAAACCCCCACGTTCTTGCAGCTGTTTGGCTGCACCCCCAATTTGCAAACTGGAAGCCTTTCAGTGGGAAGTGAGGAAACTGGAGCAAGTGTAGCAGCTGCTGACAAAGTGGTCAACAGATCATCATTTAATTGCCTCTGCATCCGGGCTGGCTACACACTTTGCAGGCTCAAGCGTAAAATGAAAATATGGAGCTTCTTGTTTAAAAAAAAAAAAGTATTAAGAATTTCAAAATAGCAGCAGCAGAGCATTAATCTAAGAGTGAAGCCCTGACCTGGGCACCTGTTAAGGTTGCACACCTGTGAGTCCAGCCCTGCTATAAGTTTTACTCTTGGTCATTTCTCTTTTACTTAAGTATGTATTCTAGTATAAATCTTCATTAAAGGGAATTTGGAAAGTAGAGAATTAAAATGATGAAACAAACACCAAAGTTTGCCACTCTCAGATACCATCAGCACTATGGTAATATCTATAGATCACTCTAGCTATTTTTTATGGTAATCATTACTTTCAATTGCTATAATTACACTGTGCACATTTTTTCAAAACCAAAACAATAATATGGAAATTTTGTAATTCAATTATGTTGAGTCCCTTGAGGGCTAATCTCTTTCCTTTTGTTCCTGCTCTTTCTTATTTACATAATTTACCTCCTCTGTGTCTAGTAATTTTTATTGTATATCAAACAATGTTTTGAAAAGTTCTTTGCAGAAATTTGAGTTCTAAGAGGATGTTCTCTTTCTCCAAAGAAGATTTTTCAACCTTTTTGTCAAGTGTCTGGGCAACACTATTGTAGTGCTCTAAAATTACTTTAATCTAAAGTCAGTGCTTGAGATTTTCTGAATTAACCAGAAAACTGTAGTCTGTGTGAAAATTCTTTTTGTTTTTTTCTCATTCATTCTTATTTATATGAGGCAGTGCTTTCCTATTCCAGGCCAAAGCAGATGAGTTATCAAGTTCCATGTCTTGATCGGCCTTGGACTCTGACTTTTGCTCCCAGTTCTACAAAACACTAAAAGTACAACTCAACCTCTCTCTCCACATCCTCCATGTTAGCAAATACCCTGAAGTGCTTTGCTGACCTCTCTGGATCTGGAATTTGAAATTCCTTACTCTCTTGTTAAATTTCTGATGCTTTACGAAAAGGCTGTTATGGCCCTCCCTGGTGGTGCAGCAGGTTAAATAAAGCACAGCACTGAGAAGCTTAAGCCACTTCCGCATCAGTTCCATCCCTGACTGCCCCAGAGGAGATCCACATGGCGAGGCAGACCTCTCCTGACCCGCCCGCTGCTCCCCTCAACAGTGTACTTCATCAGTCTGCCTGTTCTGCTCCCCATTCTGTCTCTGGTGAATCCTCTTGCCACCCCTGCACCTCTGGCCTGTACCCATTTCTGTATGCATGAATAAATAAATCTTTAAAAGAAAGGCTGTTACATTTCATTCAGCTTTTTAAAATTGGGAGGATTGATTCTGAATTACCTAGCTCAGCATTACCAAAATCAGGAGTGTCTATCCCAAAAGAAAGTTTCAAACAGAAAAGGAAATGGATCCATTATTCCACCACTGCAACTTGCACATCTCCATCTATATCCTTACAGTTAATTATTCTTCTTGCCCTTCCCCCAGTCCTGCTTTACCTTGTTTTATCAGTTGCAGAATGGTATCTTTCAGGTGACTGCTGTGGTAGAATTTCAGACAGTAGGGATCCCCAGCAGTTCCTGTTTATGAATTCAACAAGTATTATTTAGCATCCATAGGTGGGGGGGGGGGGGTTTCTGCCAAAGATCCGAAAATTTCCCAGTCTAATTGGGGCAATAAATAATGTCTTCGCAAGGTAGTATTTACAATAAAATAAAACACACAAAAAAACTTATGACACAGAAGAGAAAGGCAAGGGAAAAAGTGATTAAGAATGGGCCACCACTGTGGGCCCTCCCCGGTGGCACAGCAGGTTGGAGTGCTGCCAAGCCAAACCAGGGCCGCTTCGGTGCAAGTTCCATCCCCATCCGGAGGTGACCTGGCGCAGCAGACCTCTCCTGACCCGCCCACTGCTCCCCTCAGCAGTGTACTTCGTCTATCTGCCTGTTCTGCTCCCCATTCTGTCTCTGGTGAATCCTCTCGCCACCCCTGCACCTCTGGCCTGTACCCATTTCGGTATGCATGAATAAATAAATCTTTCTAAAAAGAAAGAAAGAATGGAGAGTGGGTGACCAATCTACATTACTTTATCTCCTGTACACAGTGAAAAGCCAATTACTTGAATTTTTCCCCTAGGCCCCATACGACCAGAAGAAGCCATGTGACACAATTTAAAGCCATCTTGTGAGTTTGAGAAGGAAATCAACAAATTAAGAATGGGAAAGGTAAAAAGATCTGAGACAACCTAGGTAAAAGAAAGTGCAAGCTGGTAGCTGGTAGGATGTTCTGCCCCAAGTTGCTGGAACAGGTGGACTAAATCATGAACTGGAAAGTCCTGTCCAGTCTGGTGCACCACACTGACCAGAAGGTGCCATGCTAGACAAAAAGCACTAGACCCTCACTAATGACTACTTCACAATTTCCTGGAGGTAGCAGGGTGAGAGCCCACATGCACAGCTGGAGTGTCGCTCGTGTGGATATGCCCAGCATAGCCCAGCCCTGAATAAGTAATGATGCCACTCTCCTCCTCCCACCTCATGGACATAACCTTTAAATATCTCTCCCTAATACCCTTAAAGGAGCCAGTTTAAATTCTCCCCTCAGTCAGTGGTTCCCTCAGGCATCGGTCTCTAACAAAGCCTTGCCTAGTTCAACTCCACCTAGTGTTCTCTGGAGAGTTTCTTTTCCTAAACAGAAAAACATCCACTCTTTTGGGTCATGGCCTGTAACAGACAGAGAAAGAAAGTGCCATTGGTAACATAATCATGCCACCCAAACAGCCTGACTTTCCTATTCCCTGACAATAAAACTTTTCACCTTTTTAAGCATGGAAGTTAAGACTTCTGTTACTTAGAGGTGAGCACAATTCTTAACTGATGCCATGGTTTAATAGGGGAGTAGTTCTCCTGCTAGTACAAAAATCAGGATAAGCAGTTAAAGGCTTGTGTTGCAGCTCCATTAAAACCTATTATCCCCAACACCTGTTTATTACCTTCCTGTCTTGCTGTCCTTGGTTCTCATGGTCACAAGAAGGCTGCTGCACTCCCAGTCACTTTGTTCATGCTACATGAGGAAAAAAAGAAAAGAAAAGCAAAAGATTTCAGCTTGACAGACATGTCTTCAGGCCAGAGAAAAGGGAGGGATCTCTAAGCATCTACCACATCTCATCAGCCAAACTCTGACCTTTGGACACCTCTACCTAATAGCAAGGGAGTCTGAAAAGATGTGTCTTTTCTCTCTCCAGCCTTTATAATATAGAAGAGCAATGAACACGAGTTTTGAGTGGCTTTTGAATACTTTGTACTACTGTAGTGGAATTTTCCAGATGTACAGTGGTGCTAACAGTGTGTACAAGATGAGCCCAGGAGCCTCCCTAATGGCACAGGGAGTTAAAACGCAGCACTGTGAAACTCTTCAAAGCCACTACAGCACCAGTTCGATCCCCGGTCAGGGAGGTGACCCACATGGCACAGCAGACCTCTCCTGTCTCACCCACAGCTCCCCTCAACAGTGTGTTTCAGTTGATAAACCTGTTCTCTCCCCACTCTGTCTCTGGTGAATCCTCTCACAACTCCCCACACCCCCACTCCTCTGGCCTACACCCCAATTCTTGTATGCATAAATAAATAAATTTTTTAAAATGAAGAGACCAAGGGCTTTGGGGATAGTGTGGAGGCTCTCCAAACAAGAAGGCAACTTTTAACAAATTACATCAAACCCTCTCTGTTGTTCTTAAGTAAGTTTCATTGTTCCATATTTTGCTGACAATATTTTTTTTTACTTCCTCCTAAATAGCATATGTAGGTTAGTTTGTGTTTTCCATTCTGCCCTATTCTTTTGTTTATCAGCTCATCAGTAGTGAAGGCA